CTAGGACACATGAAACCATCTCAAAAATGTAAAAGCAGCTGGGCATGGTGGCGCAGGCCTTTAATCCCAGCACTTGGGAGGCAGAGGCAGGTGAATCTCTGTGAGATCAAGACCAACCTGGTCTCCATATCAGTTCAGGGAAGCTGGGGCTACAGGGAGACCTTCTTGGGGCCGGGGGGGAAAGGAGGAAGTGGAAGAGGAGCTGAAGGACTCATTGCTGACTGCAGCTTGAACTAGGATGATTATGGGAGGAGCTGGGCCAGACTCCCTATTATAGAATTTAAGAAAAACCAAGAGAGAATCAGAGCCATATGGGGTTGTGGCATACAGAAGCTTATGCAGACTTGTAGGTGTAGGAAAAAACTCAGCAAGAGATTATGTTAAATATAGGCAACCATGTACTTCTGGGAAGCAGCCACTTTTTAAAAGACAGGGTCTTACTGTGTAGCCTAGGCTGGCCTTAAACTCGCAGCAATCCTCCTGCTTCAGCATCCCAAGTGCTAGGATAAAGGTTTGAGCCATACCTGGCCAAATCTTGGTTCTTAACACTTGCCACCTCCAGGTCAGCCTGGCTCAATAACCACCTCTCAGGTTGGTCCTGTAAAATCAATTTTATTGAGTCATGGATTTATGTCTAACACTTTACAGAATTAAGCCCTAACACCTAAGGGTGAGACATAATCATTAACTCCATCTTACAGATAAGGAAACAAAGGTTTCAGATGGTTAAATAATAGTTGTTATGTGAAGACTTGACTCTAGGTCTGACTAAGTCCCTGCTCTTAGTCATTAATGCTGCACTGACTAACATGAGCCTTAAGTCCTTGCACTCTCCTTGGCCCACCCTGTCCTTACATCAATTTGGTCTTTTTGTGTGTGTGCAGGTAAACTTTTGCATGTGGAGGCCAGAGGATTTTTGGGTGTCATTCCTTGGGAGCCATCCATTTTGTGCTTTGAAGACAGGGTCTCTTGACCTGTAGCCTGCCAATTATGCCAGGCTAACTGACCAGCAAGTGCCTCTCCTGGGCCTGGGATTCAAGGCCATGACATTGCTTCTGGCTTTTGACATGAGTTCTAGGGATCAAACTCAGGTACTCATGCTTGTGTGGCAAGCACTTTACTGAGCTATCACAATACTCTGATTTTGACCTCATTATCTTGTTTGTGGGAGCCTGAAACTTGCCAAAAGAACAGCCTCTTCCCATGTGAAAAGTGCTCCTTTGCTGTAGAGTGAAAAGAGCAGCGTCAAGTATCCATTAAAGTTAGGTGTGGTGGTACACACCTGTTAATCCCAGCACTTGGGAAGCAGAGGAAGGTGGATCTCTGTGAATTCAAGGCTAGCCTCATCTACATAGCGAGTTCCAGGACAGCCAGAGCTACATAGTGAGACCCTGTGTCAATAGTGGCACACATCTTTAATTCTAGCACTAGGGAGGCAGAGGCAGAGGCAGGCCAGACTGCAGACTGCTCTACATAGTGAGTTCCAGGCCAACTAGGGGTACTGGGAGACCCTGTCTCCAAATATATTTATACATTATATATTTATATATATGTTCTCATCTGCAAATACCTTTTGAGGAAAAGACTTGCTCTCAATCCTTGCTACTTGGGCAACTGCTGAGTCTGCTTTTGTTTAGACATAGGAGGGGAGTGTTCTGCCTCTCCTCAGGAAGTATGACATAAACTTGGGATTTCCATCCCATTGGAATGAATAAAAGAATTTGGGTACTTTTTCAATGAGACTTCTGGGGAATGAGGCAGTATTTATTGTCTAATAAACTACAGTCTGGATAAGTATAGATACCATCTCTCAAGAGAAGCCTAGTGGAGCCCCTACCAGAAACTCTGCAGACTTTATTGATACAGAGAACAGCTCTCTAGAATTTGTGACTAAGGCATTTCCACTATCAAATACTCAGTAGGAAGGGATCAGTCATGTCTCACTTTCTAAATAATCAACCAAATTACATTTATTTTCATATCTGTGATTGAATCAGAGGCTCAGCCAATGCTGACAATTAAAAATCTGGCAAGCAGAGTGAATCTGGTTAGAGTCAATACCTGATGCACTGAGAAGATGCAGTAGTCTAGAGGGCAGACAGATGAGGAGGGCACTTCTGGGGTTTCCTCATGACTAGGCCTCAGGTGACTCGTTAACTGTATAGTATCCTCTCAACAGCATCAGGTGGACGAAGATAGTCTACCCGACACTAGCTGAAAAATTCTGTTGGAATTTACTTTTTCAATGATCCACTTCTGAAGCTGGCAAACAAGTTCTACTTGATAGGGAACTGGTGAATGGGAAGGAGAATGGGCTGCACAATAGTTGAGCTCCCTGCTTTGAACCACGTTAAGGATCCCACATATTTCCATCATTCTGGAAATCATTCTGTACATTCCCTTTCATTTGATTTTATGGTTTTTGTTTGGTTGGTATTTGACCTATATTTTCTTTTGGTCAAAGTTTAGATCCTTCCCTGCTTATAGAAGGGGCTACAGGATCTACCTGCAGCCCTTAAATGCACAGGCCTCTCATTACTAACTTCAGTGTCCTTAGTAAATCTTTTAAGTTAAAATGAATTTTAGGGGCTGGAGAGATGGCTCAGTGGTTAAGAGCACTGACTGCTCTTACAGAGGACCCGGGTTCAATTCCCAGCACCCACATGTCGGCTATGAACCGTCCTTAACTCCAGTTTCAGGGGAATCCGAAGCCCCCTTCTGGCCTCTGACGCATTGCATGACACGGGTGCACACACATACATGCAGGCAATACACTCATACACATAAAATAAAAATAAAATTAAAAAAATAAAAATAAAATGAATTTTAGATGATATCTATCTAGCACACATCACACCCTCAGTAAGAATCTCTTGAGCTGTGGCAAATGTGTCCCTCCATCCAGAAAAGAGAGTTCACCATCTCAGAAAGTGCTTTGATTCTTTTCCTTTTTCATTGGTGCAAATCTCATGTTCCAAGTTTCTAATGGGTCATAAATGAAGCCAGAACTCTGGTTTTGGAGTTCCAAGTTTTCTTGTGGGGTGTGCTAGATTCCAACTAGAAGCTCTTCACCCCAGTGCATCAAGGTTCTATCATTAGCTGTCTTACCTACCCCTGTGGTTTTTTTCATTGCCTACACACTGAAAGTTATGACACCAGACCAGGTCTCACACACATTTCTTTTTTTTCTCTTTTGGTCTTTTTGAGACAGGGTCAGCCTGTAGCCCCAGCTGGCCTAGAAGTCACTATGTATACCAGGCTGGCCTTGAGCTCACAGAGATCTGCCTGCCTCTACGTCCTGAATGTTGGGATTAAAGGCCAACTCACACACATTTCTTATCTCCCACAGTCCTTGGTATTACAAATATCACAAAACTGTGTTTTATGTTCTTGATTACCCTGAAAACCAACATGTTCTGACAGAACCTTCCAAAAAGTACAGGTAACAAGGCAAACACCATTTCCTGCTGTGGATACACAACTAGATGGAATGAAGTTTAGGCTCAGTGATAAGGAGAGCAGAGCACAGGTCCCTTCCTTCTCAGGATAGTGTCTTGTCTATGTAGTTTCAGACCTTGTTCCAGGCATTACAGAAGATTCATGGAAACAATGGGGTGTGGGCATAAACAGCTTTCTGCCCAAAATGCGGGACTCCTGTATTTTCTATCTTCTACCTCAAGCTCCATATAAGATAAAATAACAAATCAAACTGATTTCCACCAAGTTTCTACAAGAACTCTGCTTTGATTTTCACTGTCTTATTTGGCTTTGCCTGGACAGAAGCCAAAGGCAAAGACAGGATTTTGGCAGAGAACTATATGACGAGATTTTTTTAAATTTCTAGAGGCTCACCTTTTCTCTTTCAACAGCCTCATTTTGCAGATGAAAATGAGAGCTGTAAAGGGAAAAGGATGTACATCTGGTTGCACAGACAGGAATAGACCAGGTTCAGATGCTCCCAGATGATTAAGTGAGCCCAAGAAAAGAACACATGGTAGCCAAGGTCCCTCCAAGCACAACAGGTGGCTGGGTATGGTAGCATGCACCTTTAATCCCAGGACTCTAAAGGTAGAAGCAGGTAGATCCTTGTAAGTTCAAAGCCAGCATGGTCTACATAGCAATTTCCAGGTCAACCAGGGCTGCATGATGAGACCCTGTCTCAGAAAAACAGCACAACAGGTAAGATAGTTCTCAGTGGCTGAGGAAGGGTCTCAGTCTGCCCACTGCCAGAGGACAGGGCCAGGCAGGGGATGCAGACCCTCTCTTGGATGGCTCAAGAGCATCACATTATAATACTGCTACCACACTACAGAGGAAACAAAAGCTCAGAGCTCAGTGCACTTTCTGAAACTCTTAATGCTTTGGCAAAGTGCTGTCATTTGCTGCTGAGAACTGTAAAGAAAATCAGACCCAGAAATGGAAAAGCCAGGTTACTGACTTGGAAAAGATAAGGGATAATTTGACATAAATGACTTTAAAAAAAAAAATCACAATTCAGGCACAGATTTTAGGCTGCTTTGTCATTCTCATGCCCACTGTTTCTCTGAAATCTTTAGCTATTAAAGTTGGGTTAAAAAACTTGTTTTTCTGAGACAGGGTCTCCCTGTAGTCCCACAAGGCCTGGAACTCGCTATGCAGACCAGGTTGGCTTTGCTCTCATGGAGAGATCAGCTGGAATTAAAGGCGTGTGTCACTACACTTGGCTTCCCTCCCAATTTTTTTTTTTTTTTTTTTTTTTTTTTTTTTTTTTTTTTTAATCCCATTAGCCCCAGCTGAAACTCACTAGGCTGGCCTTGAACTCACAGATATTCACCTGCCTCTGCCTCCCAAGTGCTGTGATTAAAGGTATGTACCACCATGCCTGACCTCCTCTCAGTTTTCTAAGCAGGGCCTTGGCAAATGTTTCTACCCAATCAAAAGTCACTACAGGAGCTTTAATGTTTCAAATCAAGCTAGTGAAAGCTAAGAACTGTCCCCTTAAATAAGCTATTAAAGTCAGATTTCTTGTTCACCAATGTTAAAATGTATTAGCAGACAAAATCTAGGAGGCTGAGGAAAGTAGTCTGAGTCATCAGTTTCACGGAAAGGTAACTACACATGTATGAACAGAGCTTGGCTGGTTTCAGGGGCCACAGCAACATAAACAGCAGCTAAATAAAGCATGTTCCTCCAACACTCATCTCACCAAAAGAAATTAGTGAATGGCTTTGAACATTCTCATGCCTCTAGATGGCTTCAAGGTTTGGGGGCTCTTCCCATGCACTTGTCTTTGCCTAGAGACACGTCTACTGTCATTTGGCTATCCTGTGACAGGGTGATCGGAGGCTAAATCTTGCTTCCCAAACTCTGCTTTTGTATCTCTGAAAAAAATGGGGTGCTGGGTTCTTTTCCAGTTCTTTCTGGATTTCAAAATGTGTTGTTCTTGTACTGTTGTGAACTTCCAAAATACAAGCATGTCTCTAGTTGAGCATAGAGGACCCCAAATTCCTTTATGAACTGGATAACAATTACTATGGGTGGTGGAGCTTGTGGGATCTCTCCTGGTCTTTTGGCTCTGCTTTGAACATAAATAACCAGGAGGCCACAGGTCTACAAAACTACCCCTCCACTACTTTCCCCATACCACTGATTGGTCTCTAGGCCCTCAGTGCTAACACCAAGGCCAGAAGTTTCCAACACAGTTAAGAGTGGCCCAGGCGGGTCTGGTGGCTGTACAGAAGGGTCCCTATCACAGCCTCCACTATGGCCAGTCCGCAGGTGGTCCTTGAGTGTCTGCTTGTAGCGGAAGCTCCTGCCACAGAGTGCACAGGGGTAGGGTCGCTCGCCTGTGTGAATGCGCTGATGCTTCATGAGGTGGTGTTTGCGGATGAAGCTCTTGCCACAGTGCGGGCACTGGAAGGGCCGTTCACCTGTGTGCAGCCGACGGTGGTTTAACAAGTGTTCCTTGCGCATGAAGCTCTTGCTGCAGTCTGTGCATGGATAGGGGCGCTCTCCTGTGTGGATCATCTGGTGACGAATCAGTGCTGAGTGCCCATTGAAGTCAATGCCACACTGAGGGCAGGAGAAGGGGCGCTCCTGCGCGTGTCCCCTCTGGTGCAGCAGGAGGCTGATCTTCAGGCTGAAGCTACGGCCACACTGTGTGCAGCGAAAGGGCCTCTCGCTGGCATGAGCTCTCCGGTGGCTGGTGAGTCGTGCTTGGTCAGCAAAGCGCTTGGGGCAATCAGGACAAAGGAAGGGGCGCTCTGTGCTGTTGTGGACCCGAAGGTGGTAGGTGAGTCTAGAGGGGTGAGTGAAGGTCCGCGCGCAGTGTGGACAGGTGGGTGGTGTTTCACTTGTATGGTCCTGGGAGGTGCTACCAAGATTGGCCTGTGGGGCAAAGTGCTTGGGACACTGGGCACAGGTTAAGGGGTGTTCACCAGCATGGCTACACTGATGCATCATTAACATGTCTTGGCTGAGATTCTTGCCACAATGATGGCATGAGAACATCTGCTCTCCAACTGGAGGTGGGAGTGGGTAGCTTCCTAACTGAGTAAAAGTCATTTGTCCCTCTGAGGCTTCAGGCAGGTCAGTGGCTGCCCGTCCAAAAGGTGTCATAGGTGTGGACTGTGGGCTTTTGAAAGCTACATCTGAAAAAGCATCCTTTGCTGCTGATGGAGCAGAGAAAGTGACTGGGACTTCAGGGCACAAAGAGGCTCTAGCAAGGTCTTCAGCTTTAATGACAAGCTCTTCATCTGAAAGAAAGGCCTCAGAGTTACACCTGTCACGCCTCACACATTCTTACCCAGCTCTAGCAGCTTGCACTAAGCTCTTAACTGCTCAGATAAGCTCAGCAGCAGGCTCTTGTTACTAACTACAGTACCTGTAGGCCTTATGGCAAATCAGCCCAACTTTAAGGCTGTACTTCTTTGATACTCCATTTCAAAAAAGAATAAATAACCTTGGCATCAGTCTTCACCACATTATTCTCATTATGTCTCACCTCTACTCAGTAACTTCCTCTGTTGCCTGGTGTGACAAAGCCTAAAACCACCATTTACTCCTATTCCTATAATCTGTCAGATAAACCCTTCCTATAGTCAGTTGCCTCTAACTTCCCAGAAAATAAAGTACGCATTTCTTCTTCCAAATCTTTGGTCACTCTGTTCTCTCTTTCACAAGAAACTTCCCTTCTCTCTCCCTGTCTTTCCAAATTATAGCTAGTCATATCAAATTGGTCAATCTTCTAGGTCCATTCTGGCTTCTCAGTCTTTTATGGGGGTAGAGGGGTTGAAACAGGGTCTCATGTAACTCAGGCTAGCCTCAAACTTGCTATGTAGCTGAGGCTATCCTTGAACTACTGATCCTCCTGCCTCTATCTCCCAAGTGTTGGGATTACAGGTCAGTTTTTCACATCCTTGGCTATGCCTTATCTAAATACCTAAACTAAACAGATTCATGTTTTCTAACCCCACATGTCTTTTGTCATCCATATAACCCTGTCACCTAATAAAAGACTTGTCTAGCATTGATATGTCTGTGGTGGTGGTTTCCCAGAGAGCAGAAACTCTTATTTCTCACTTGTACTTGTCTAAAGGAATATAGGGCATAGAAGATGCTAAACAAACAAACAGCTTCCATTAAAGTGTTTAAATAATTGAATCCCTTCTGATCTTGAGATACTCTTTTTATAAAATTTCAAAATTACATTTATTTATCTTGTGCAAGGGGGGATGTATGTGCCACACCACACATGTAGAGGGCAGAGGACAATTTGCAGGATTTGGTCCTTTTTCTACCAAGTGGGTCTCAGGGATCAAACACAGGTTGTCAGGCTTGGCAGCAGGTTCCTTTGCCTGCTGAGCTATCTCACTGGCTGAGATTCTCCTTTATAATTCAAGAAGTAAATCACAAATGGTGCTAAATCTCAGACAGAAACTTTCTTCTCCCATCATTTTTCCTTTTAGTGAGGGCAGGCTCTTAATATTCCCATTTTCACCTCTCCAGCATTTAAAAAAATTATTTTTATGTGTATGAGGAGTTTGTCTGCATGAATATAAGTGTACAACGTATATGCAATGCCTACAGAGGTCAGAAGAAGATGACGGATACCCTGGAGCTGGAGTTATAGATGCCATATGGGTGCTGGGAACTGAACTCAGGTCCTCCGCAGGAGCAGCCAGTGCTCTTTAACCACTAAGTCATCTCTCCAGCTCCTCTCTAAAATTTTTGTCTCTCCAACTGCCTGTTTTTCTCTATGCCACTTCCCAATTTGTTTTGTTTTGCTTTTCTGTCTCTTTGTGGCCTCAGCTGGCCTGGAACCCATTGTGTAAACCAGGCTGGCCTTGTTCTCACAGAGATCCACCTGCCTCTGCCCCTGGAATTCAGGGATTAAAGGTGTGTACCACTATGCCTGGCAATCACTCCCCATTTTGTTCTATCCTATTTTGATTGATTCATTGAGACAGATTCTTGTTATATAACCCTGCCTGACCTAGAACTTACTATGTAGACCAGGCTGGCCTCAAACTTGAGGTGATCTTCCTGCCTCTGCCTCCTGAGTGCTTGGGACTAAAGGCCACCACACCTGGCTTTGATCTATTCTCTTTTTTTTTTTGGTCTTTTTGAAGCAGGGTCTCCCTGTAGTCCCAGCTGTCCTGGAACTCACTATGTAGACCAGGCTGGCCTCGAACTCACAGAGATCCGCCTGCCTCTGCCTCCCAAGTGCTGGGACTACAGGCATGCACCACCACACTAGGCTTGCTTTGATCTATTCTTGCTAAGAGATATTCATATGGTCTGTTTCCTAACCCCCATACTTTTAGTTTATCTATATGCACTTACTTTTCTTTTGACAATTATGTTTATTTTTCTTTTCTAAATAATGGTGCTAGGGATTTTAACGTAGGGCCTTGTGCATGCTAGGCACACGATTTATCACTGAACTATACCAGCCCCAACAATTTTTTTCTTTCTTTTTTTTTGTATTGTTTTGGGTCCCCCCAGCCTTTTTTTTTTTTTTTTTGAGACAGGGTCTCACTATGTAGCCCTAGCTGGCCTTGAACTCATTATGTAGACCAAGCTGGCCTCCAACTCAGAGATCCGCCTGCCTCTGCCCCGCTAGTGCAAGGATTAAAGACATATGTCACTACACCCAGCTCTAGCCTAACTACTCAAATTTGCCTCTGCATTTAAGAGTATGATTTCAATAGGGCATGGTGGTGCATACCTTTACTCCCAGCACTTGGGAGGCAGAGGCAGATGGATCTCTGTGAGTTCAAGGCCAGCCTGGTCTACATAGAGAGTTTCAGGTCAGCTAGGGCTACAGGAAGACCTTGTCTCAAAAAGATCCCCCTCCCCCAAAAAAGTGTTATTTCAGAGTTGGTGAGATGGCTCACTAGGTAGACACTTGCCACCAAGCCTGATGACTGGTGTTCAATCCCTGGAACCCACATGGCAGGAAGAACCTACTTCTTCAAATTGTCCTCTGACCTCTGCATGTGCCCTTCCCCGCCCAAATCTAATGTAAAAAATGTGCTTGCTTACTTAAAAATTTATCTCAATGGCCTTTTAGCTGTATTGGTTAGTTACTCCTGTTAGAGCAGGATCTGGACCTCTCTCTTCCCTCTTACTCACCAGCGTAGGTACCTTTGTACAGGTCACTCTCTTTGGACTCCTGGGGGGCTCCAATCTGAGGCTCCTCCTCTTGTTTAATCCAAGACAGAATATCTGAGGTTGAAAGGCCAGGCTCTGTGGAGAAGAAGAAAATGGTCTTCAGGGACTTAAATCAGAAAGTAAAATAATCATGTTTGTCAAACATATCATTTTGCCCAAATACTTTTTTTGAGACATGGTCTTACTGGTTAGCCTGGAACTTACTAAGTAGACCAGGCTGGCCTTGAACTCACAGAGATTCACCTGCCTCTGCCTCCCAAGTGCTGGTATTAAAAGGCATATTCAACTACCTTGAACTTACTCTAAAAAAGTTTTTTTTACTTATTTTTATTTTATCTCTGAGTATTTTGCCTGCATGTATGTAAGTGCACCACATGCATGGACTACCCATGGAGGCCAGAAGAGGATATTGAATCCTTTGGAACTGGAGTAACAGACTGTTTTAGCTGCCGTGTGGGTGCTGGGAACCAACCCTGCAAGAGCAGCCAGTGCTCTTAACCACTAAGACATCTCTCTAGCCTCCATTACTTCTTTTTTTGAGACATGATCTCATGTAGTCCAGATTGGCCTCAAATTTACTATGTAGCCAAGGGTAACCTCCTACCTCACTCCCCAAGTGTTTGGAATATAAACTTATGTCACTGTGCCTTGTTTCTGACTTTTTTTTTTTTGGTCTTTTTTGAGACACAGTCTCCCTGGAACTCTCTATATAGACCAGGCTAGCCTTGACCTCACAGAGATCTGCCTGCCTTTGCCTCCCAAGTGCTGGGATTAAAGGCTTGCACCACCACACCTGACTCGTGACTGTTTTTTAGAGATAGGATCTCACTGTATAGCCCAAGCTGATCTTGAACCCCTGATCCTCTTGTCTCTACCTCCCAAGTACTGGTATTTACAGGGGTGTAGCACCACACATTATTATCAACTAACTATAACAAAACAGAGCTAGCTTTTTAAAGTAAATACAATTCTGGAGAACCAATGGATAATGAAAACAAATCAATATATTGTATGTGTGTGCATATGCATGCGTGTAGAGGTCAGAGAAAAACTAATGGGAGTTGGTTCTCTCCTTCACAATGTAGGTCCCAGGGATTGAGTTTAGGTTGTCAGGCTTAGTGGCAAATGCTTTCTTTACCCACTGAGCCATCTCACTGGCCCTGATAAATGTGTGTATGTGTGTGTGTGTATGCGTGTGTGTGCGTCTATTGAGACAGGGTCCCACTGTGTAGCCCTAGCTGGCTTGAAACTTGCTATGTAGACCAGGCTGGCCTTGAGCTCACAGAGATCTGCCTGCCTCTGCCTTCTAAGTGTTAGGATTAAAGGTGTGTGCTACCTCTGCTGGCTCCCTGATTGACAACTTAATCTATGATCAGTAGTACCTTGTATTCCAGGAGTATTCTCATATTTAAAATATTTGCATTTTTTCTCTCAGTTTCCTTGTAAAACTATAGAGCAGGCAATATTTTCTCCCTTTAAATAAAGATACCTATAGAAGTTAAATAAATTGCTAATAAGGATTTACAGTGAAACTCTGTATTAGGGAGAATTTGCTTAATATACATCAAGGGAAAAAAAGGCAAAGAAACAAGACTCATCAAAAAAGTTTTTGATCTTTTTTGTTGTTGTTGCTAATTCAAAGACAAATTTGGTAGGGTATGGTGGTGCATACCTTTAATACTAGCCCTAGGGAGACAAGGCAGGTATATCTCTGAGAGTTCAAGGCCAGTCTAGTCTACATAGAAAATTCCAGGTTAGCTGGGTCCACATAGTGAGACCTTGTCTCAAAAAACAAAAAACAAAAGGAAAAAGACAAATTTATTTCCAGAATTACTAAGTTAGTTCATTTAATCAGAGTCTGACCCCAGTTACATACTTTACGGATTCTCAATTCTGTGGTCTTTCAAGAGATTGTATTATCTTTATTTTGTGTGTGCCGTGTGTGTGTGTGTGTGTGTGTGTGTGTGTGTTATTTTTTCCTGGGCAGGATCTTGCTCTGTAGCCGTGTCCGCTTCCGAAGTGTTGAGATTATAGGAATGTACCACTATGCCTAGCTTATGCCTAGCTTTCTATTTGCTTATTAAATGACAGAGGTCATTGTTTCCAGAGCTTTGGGAGATGAAAACAGCAAGTCCTTCAGGTCTTAGAGATTCTTTTTTTTTTCTTTAAGATATATTCATATTTATTTGATGTCTATGAGTGTTCAGCTGGCATGTATGTAAGTATACTATATGCATGTAATGCCCATGAGAGCTAGAAGAGGATGTTAGATCCCCTGGAACTGGAGTTAGAGAAGGCTGTGGGCCACTATGTGGGTGCTAGGAATTCAACCCGTGTCCTTTGCAAGAGCAGCAAGTGCTCACTGAGCCATCTCTTCAACTCAGTCTTAGGGATTCTTTTGAAAAGAAAACACCACTACTCCAAAAAGTGCTCTCTCTCTGTCTCTCTGATACACACCTGAACAACGGCTGTGCTTGCTATTCTGGCCCACACCTAGGATGGTTGTTTTTGGTCTTAGCAGCTGGAAAGCTGCTAAGATCTAGAGAATAAAGCAAGTCTCTATAGTTGTTTCTTCAAAAACCTTCATGGGGGAATTTCTTTCTAGCAAAAGAAAATAACTGCTTTGCTAAATGTCTTTTGTTTCTTTGGGCAGGGTCTTGTTATGTTGTCTAGCTATAATGTTCATGCTAGCCTCAAATTCACAATCTTCCACTTCTACCTCCCGAGTGCTGGGATTACAGGCATGTACCATCATGCTAGGCATTTCAATACTTTTCAATATTTATTATTTTAATTTTATGTGTATGAGTGTATTGCCTGCATGTGTGGAAGTGTACCCATGTTGTGAAATGCCCTCAGAGGTCAGAAGAAGGCATTGGATCCCTTGGAACTGGAGTTACAGACGATTGTTGGCTACCATGTAGCTATTGGGAATCCAACCCGAGTCCTCTGCAAGAGCAGCCAATGCTCTTACCCACTCAGCCATCTCTCCAACCCACATATATATATATTGTAGGGTAAGAGATAGGATTTCCCTGTAGTCCCAGCTGTCCTGGAACTCCCTATGTAGACCAGCCTGGCCTTGAACTCACAGAAATGCACCTGCCTCTGCTTCCTGAATGTTGGGATTAAAGTCGTGTGCCACCACCCCTGGTACCCTTCAATAGCTTTTAAGTCAGCTAGAGACTACTGGAATCTAAATGTGCCCAAAGCAGAAAGAAGAGCCCTGGAGCTGGACCATAAAAGCCCTTATTGCCCTAGCAGAGGACCCAGGTTTGGTTCCCAGTACCACATGATAACTAAAAACTGTCATAACTCCAGGTCCAGGCTATCTGAGGCCCTCTTCTGGTCTCTGTGGGCACTGCACACATGCACATGGTGCACTCACATGCAGGCAAAACACTCATACACATAAAAAAACTTTAGTTTTTAATGATCACAAGAAGCCATGGTTTTTAACTGATAACTCAATCTCTACATACAATATTGCACAAATTAAGGGTATATCAACAATTCTACTTAGGATACAATCTCATCAACATTTATATAAAACTACTGCTTTGGGGGCTGGAGAGATGGCTCAATGATTAAGAATGCTGGCTGTTCTTGCAGAATACCCGGGTTCAAATCCCAGCACCCACATGGCAGCTAACAACTGTCTCCAGTTCCAGGGAACCCAACAGCCTCTTCTGTCCTCCACAGGCATTGCACAACATGGGTGCACTTACCTACATGCAGGCAATATACACATACGCCTTTAGTCCAGCACTTGGGAGGCAGAGGCAGGCAGATCTTTCTGAGTTCAAGGCCAGCCTGGTCTACATAGTGAGTTCAGGTCAGCTGGGACTACAGGGAGACCGTGTCTCAAAAAGGCAAAAATAAATAAATATTTTTTTTAAAAAAACTATTCCTTTAGGTTTGGGTGCATTTTTGTGGTAGGCACTTTAGGAAACAGTGCAAATATTAAGAACTCACCTACATCATGAGAATTCAACAGAATACTGTTATCTCATGGATTACTTAAGATGTCAAACACAAGCACATGGTGCACTTACATACATGCAGGCAAAACACTCATACACATAAA